TGTATCCAAAATCTATCTTTTATCTTACCCTAATACTGATATCTGTTAGTTTACCATTATTCTTTTCCGATATGCATTTCGGGTAAATAACAGGTCAATAAAGATATATTCCGTTATTTAACCTTTATTCATATATTCGACCTGTGCATGTTATTACAAAGAGATGAAAATAATGTCTTTAAATACATGTTTTAGAGAAAAAGTAAAAGAAATCTAATAGGTTCTCTAAAAATAAGTGGGTTGTTTGGGTTGTATAGATTACAGGGGTGTGTGGGTTGTATAGGATGCATAGGCCCTGTAAATACATATGCATAGATCATAGACTGCATATAGGCCGTGGTACTCCTATATGAGGTAAGTTATATAATTGTAATATACAAATAAAAGGGGTAATTGTTATGTGCTAGAAAAATAGTTACATGCTATAAACTAACAACTATAATACTATAATACTATAATTTTTATCACAGTATTAACTAATTCTTCAGCAGTTGGTCTGTCTTGAGGTTCTGCGTCTAAGCACTTATTTATCAGATCCAAAAGTAATTGAGAAGCTTCGCACTCAATTTTGGGCCTATAACCAAGACAAATATATGTTTCTAGATCTTCATTGTGTGAAGTATCATGATATTTAGCAAAAACTTCCAATATAATTATTTTGAAAGAATAAATAGCTGGTTTTTGAGTGTATTTCTTTTCATTTGTGTATAATACTTCTGGAGCAGTATATGGAAGTATACCGAAAAGCTCTTTAGAATTTGAGTCTTGTAGTACTAGCTTATATAAGTAATGTAGAATGATTAACTATATTGCCAGAATGAAATAAGAAATCCTATTTTTTTTAACTATACTTTCAAGAAATATATAATTGAATTTAGAATTCTTTTAACTATAAACGTATTAGAATAAAATGGCTAAAGTAGCACATTCATGCCAAATACAAGTAAAACTTTTTCATAAGAAATTTTTAAATACTGAATACTAAAATATGCACTAAATTGGTGTATTAAGCCCTCTAGCTATATAATATAAATTAGCTACTTTAAAAGCCCAATTTAATTCACTATATTTACTATCTAGCAATTTTCTAAAACTTCCCTACTTTGCATACTCCATAACCCTCTTGTAGTTACTATCTTTTGGGTTCTTGGTTATTCCATAAATCACAGTTGCAGATTTGCTCTCAGATTTTTAACCTAAAATATTAATTAGAATAAATAAAGTTATTACACTTTAATAAATTAAACAGTACGTACGAAATAAAGGACAAGTGGAATGTTCTGAATATAAGTTTTACTATATAATTAGTTGCTTAAGTCAAGATGTTAAGTTTGGAAACAAAAAAAAAGTTAAATACCTATTCGTTATATACCGTATTATCATATTCTTGTCTAAATCTGCCTTCTAAGTAAAGTTTTTAGGGATAATGATCTATACTGATCTTTTTTTCCAAAAGACATATAAGAGGTTAAAAAACACTATAATATGTTCTAAAAAAATTTTATTATGTAAAACTATGAGTTGCCAATTGATAATATAGTTTTTCATAGTAAAGGTTACTTTAAAATTTTTTTTTATATTGTATAACCTAGTGATCTTCAAGCCAATCAAATTGAATGTCTGCCATACTGTATTGGGCAAGGTTTATTAGAGCATAAAGTTATAAGTATTAGATTAGTAGGCTTTTTAGGTACACAGTTGTGTTTTTTTTGATAATACTATTCATTCTTGTTTTTTTTTAAGTTTTTATCATATTCTTAATAACTTATATAACTTATATATAACATATAAAAAACTTACATGAATGGTGTATTTTTATATATACTTCACGCTTGGTGTACTTTTTTGATGTCTATTTCAATTACTATTTAGTTTTCTATTACTAAGGAGTATACTCCCCTAAGGGTATATGACGCAGTTGCGGAGTGAAACAGAGCATAGTTATCATATTTGATTTCTATTTAGTTTTTTGTACTAGAGAAGTATAGCGACTCCGAATGCGAAGCGTAGCGTAGCATTAGTTATCTGTTTAATTCACAATTAGTTTCTTAACACTAAAGAGTATACACCTTAGATGTGAGCGACACTGTTGCGGAGCGAAGCGGAGCATAGTAATCTTTTAGTTATCAATTAGGTTTCTATGGTAAAAAAGATAGTTAAATTTTATTGTCTTGCAGGCCCGAAGGGTGACTCAAAGAGTCATAGGTGGTCTTCAAGCATCTGAAGTTGTCGAGTATAAAATTGCATAACATAATATCCTTTAAAATGTTTTTTGCAACGTCCACAAGCAGAAGCTGTAGGTTTTCCACAATCATCACATAAAACACGTTTTTTAGATCTCCAATATTCATGGCACTCTTCAGGACGTTGACACCCACGTTCGCAAACTTCTCCAGAATTGTGTATATATATTTACTCTGACTTTTCAATATATTTACCTCCCTCGATATATTCACTAAACATTTCAATAAATGAATAATTATTTTTTATTTAAACAAAAGATCTGGTATATTAATAAAAAACACTGAAAAAACATATTACTATGGCTAAGATACTTAAATGTCCAGGTTGTGATCGAGAAATAAGAACTGGTAAAACTCGAGATCTTAATAAACATATGAATTTAAATGGAAACCTTCGTAAAGGACAATGCCAACCAGCTTTGCTTATAATGCAAAATGTAGGAAACGTTACTCCAGAGCAAAATACACCTCAAACTGAAAACGTTACTCCAGAGCAAAATCCATCATCAACTCCTGAAGATGATCTCATATCGTTCGATGAAAACCCACTAATACTTCAGCCGAGAGAGGCAAGTGCGCTGGCAGTCGACCCTTTAACTGATGATGTTCCAAATACAGAAGCAGAATCAAGTTCTAATACTCAAGAAGAACAAAAAAAGAAATCAATTTTAACGATAGATAAATTAATAAAATGGTTATCAAAGCCGGAAATAAAAAACAATAAAAAAATTAGATCAAAGCATATACCTAAAAACGATAAAGAATGGTATGATTTAATGGAAATAGATAACAAAAAAGATAGCGAACCAAGTGATTCAGAATATGATACTGCTGAAGAAGAACCAGATATTCATTTCGAAAAAATCAAGGATCCATACATTAATAGAATAGCAGAAGCCAGAAAATTTAATGAAGGTGAGGTATGTAATTATTATGCATTTGTACCAAAAAGATACTATGCCGAGGGTGAGCCATTAGCTTTCTTCGAATCAATCGAAGAAAAAATTGCAGATATTTATAAAAAAGAGTTAGCTTTAAAAGGTGAATTAAAAGTAAGAATCGTGTTATATGCATATATGAAGAAAATTAAACCGGAAACTCCAGAACCTATATATAAAACTTTTCTATTCAAGCATGAAACAATAGAAATTATTAGAGAAGATCGAATTAATGCAACAATAGAAAAAGGATATAACGAAATTATAGATCAAATAGAAGATGAGGCATTGCAAGAATCAGGATAGTCTTTTGTTCAAGCAGAAGAAGTATTTTTAGAAATAAGCGCATTCAGACCTTTGTGTGGTAGTAGCTATTTATATTTACCAGAAGCTTTGGATAAACCTCAACTAGGATTAATTAATCCTCAAAATAGAGATGATAATGAATGTTTTAAATAGTGTATAAGTGCATATCATACAAGAGAAGAAGCAATAAAAAATAATAGAAAGCCACTACATCTTAATAAAATCCGTAGACTTAGACGAAATGCAAATATAGCAACATTACATGATATTGATAAATTCAAGGAGATTAATCAAAATTATGCTATCAATATATTTAGACCAGTTTTTAGTGAAGCTTTTGGAAAAATAAAAGTAGATATAGACCCATTATATATTTTAGAACGAAATTACCAGGTAGAACATATGATAGATTTATTATATTTAACAGAAGGTGAGGAGAATTTAAATGATCGAAAAAATCCTAACGATATACCAGAAGGACTTAAAACACATTATGTTCTTATAACAGATTTCACATGATTAATGCATAAATGGAATAATTATCATGATAAGAAATACTTTTGTCGAAAATGTTTATGATTCCCATATAGTAGATTAGATTTATTAGAGAAGCATATTCCAACATGTCCAGAACCAAATAAAGCACCACAACAATTAATTCTTCCTGAAGAGGGTAAGAATTATGTAAAACCCAAGTATATCAAAAATATGTTAATGAAACCTTATATAATTGATATGGATTTAGAAACAGAAGAAGTCGAAGTGGAAGAAAAAGATAAAGAAGGAAATACTATAAAAATAGCGGAACAAAAAGCAGTTTCATATGGATATACAATACATTGTTCAGATAGAACTATACAAAAACCAGTAATTAATCGAAAGTCAGAAAATATAATAAAAGATTTAATAAAAAACCTTCAAGAAGATTTAGATGTTATTTTAGATAAGCTTTGCATTCCAGTTCCATGTGAAAAAATAATGCCTGAATTATGGCGAAAATATCAAATAGCAAATAAGTGTTAGAACTGTAAAGGTAAATTACATGAAGCTAGATATAATAAAATTTGCATATTCGATCCTGAAACTAAGAAATATTTAGGAGTAGGGCATAGGAAATGTCACGGAAAAAAACTAATGATTCAAGGTAAGTTGGATGATGAACAAAAGAAAGCACATGGTGCTTGTAAAAAATGTATGTATTGTAATACCCAATTGCCAGATGAAGAAAAAATAAGGTATTAGATCACGATCATATAACAGGAAGGTTTCGTGAAGCATCACACAGTAGTTGCAATCTGAAATTATAAATTGATCCAAAAACAATAAAAATTCTGGTATTATTTTGTAATGGAAGTGGCTATGATTTTCATCATCTTATGCAAGAAATAGCTAAAGTGACAGATGAAAAAATAGTGCCCATAGCAAATAATTCTAAACAATATATCACTTTCTCAGTTGGGCAACTTCAATTTATAGATAGTATGAAATTTTCATTACCGGGTTTAGCTAAAATGGCAGAAAATTTACAAGATGAAAAAAAGGGGAAAAACAAAACACCAGAACAACTAGCCAAATGTTTTCCAATTATGTCAAAATTTATCTCACTTTATTTATTATCATTGCTTACGCGTAAAGGAATTTTTCCATATCAATGGTTAAATAATAAAACAAAATTTAATAAGACACAGCTCCCACTATGTAAAGATTTTAATAGTGATTTAGATGGGTTTAATTACTGTGATCATAATTGTAGAATAGAAAAATATAAGCATGGAGAGAAGATAGGGAAATGCAAACATAAATGTCAGAAATGTAAACATAAAAAAGAACCAGGTAATTGCAATGAATGTGAAGAAAATAAAGAATGTGAACATGAAAAAATTTATACCATATCTCAAAAAGATTATGATTTTGTACATATGGTCTGGCGAGAACAAAATGCAAGACTTTTGGAGATTATCATGATATCTATCTTAAAACTGATGTATTAATTTTAGCAAATACATTCGAGGCATTCCGTAAAGCCTCATATTCAGCATTCAAGCTCGACCCAGCAAATTATTTAATCGCACCAGGTTTAGCATAGGATGCTTGTATGAAAGTAACAAAAGTTAAGCTAGAATTATTTAATGAGCATCAAGGGGATATGCACGATTTCTTTATAGCCATGAAAAGAGGTAAAATGTCTTTGGCTAGATGACATATAACTAGAGCTAATATTCCAAGATTAGAAGAGTATGATGGAAAAAAGGCAAAAAAATGGTTGCTCTACTTAGATACAAATAATCTTTATAGCTGGGCAATGTCTCAACATTTACCAACCGGTGGATTTAAATGGCTATCTACTCATCCACTAGAAGCAACTCATTCATTAGTGCAGAAAATTTTAAGATTAAAAGAAAAATCAAATCAAGGATGTTGTTTAGAGATTAAGTTATCAATTCCAAAAGAATTATATCCAAAGTTTCAGAACTATCCTATGTGTCCAGAACGAATAAAAGTACTATATGATTGGTATAGTTCAAAACAAAAAGAATAGTTAGGGAAGCAACGTTCAGATACAGAAAAACTTATACTAACTCTCCATGATAAGGACCATTATGTTATTCATTATAGAAATCTACAACAATGTATAAAGGAAGGATATGTTCTTGAAAAAGTATATCGAATTCTAGGTTTCGAACAATCACCATAATTGGAACCATACATTGCAATGAATACTCAACGACGCGAAAAAGCAAAGAATGCCTTTGAAAAAGATTTCTGAAAATTAATAAATAACCCAGTATTTGGAAAAACTATAGAAGATGTAAGAAAACGAGTAAATATAGATTTAGTTAGACAGGTAGGTGAAAAACGGAGGTTACGTAGATTAATATCAGATTCAGCATTTGTTAGTCGGAAAATTTTCTATGGAGCAAATTTGGTAGCGGTACATCGAAGACAAACCAATATAAAACTAAATAAGCCAGAATATGTTGAAGCATGTATTCTTGATCTTTCTAAATACTTTATGTATAACTTCTGGTATGGACATCTCAAAAAGAAATATGGTGATCGAGTAAGACTTTTATACACAGATACAGATTCTTTAATCATAGAAATTGAAACTGAAAATATTTATCAAGACATGATCAATAATTGCGATTTATTTGATTTTAGTGACTATCCAGAAGATCATTGGGTAGTAAAAAATCTTCTAGAAGATCAGTGGATAATCAATGAAGGTAAACATGTCTTAAAAAATACAAAAGTTATAGATAAGTGGAAGGACGAAAATGGAGGAGATCGTGCTATTGGCTATGCTGAAGTTTGTGCAAAATGCTATAGTGTTATATGTGAAAATTCACGAAAAAATATGATAAAAGCAAAGGGTCTTAAAAAAGCACTTATCAAGAGAGAGCTCACACATAAAATATTCGAAAACTGTGTTTTAGAGGGAAAAGAGGATCAACCATGAACCGCACAATTCCTCCGAAGTTATAGGCATCGAATATATAGAATAAAGCAAACAAAGAGGAGTATTAACTCACTAGATACAAAATTATGGTTACCCCAAGATGAAAAAGCTGATCCATATGTATATGGAGATTGTGAAATTCCGGAAGAATAAACATCCTACTAAATCGTTCTACTTATTGTAATATATATCTATTTTTTATGATCGATAATAAATAAAAAATCTTAGTTAATAAAATCTACATGTTTGATATACACAATAAACATGCATACATATAACCCACTTGTTGTTTCGGGCACTATAGCTAAAATCATTCCAAATCTCCCATTGGAGGCTCTCGACAAATTCTGTTGGATTAATCGAACTTAGTATAAAGAAATTCAGCATGAACTCTGAAAAAGCTGGGAGATACAAGTGTTAAAAAGTTATAAATTAGAGCTTAAAAAAGATAAGAAAATAAAGAAAGCACTAAAACAATATTCAGATGATGAGAAACTTCAAGGATATATAGAATATAGTATAGAGCTTAAATATCATACAAAGCTACTTGAGACTGCTAAAAAACAAGTAGAGATTGAAAGGTGTATGCTTACCAATGGAATGCTTTATAGGCAGGAAAGGGAAATCGTTAAATATAATATACAACAGATTGCAGATAAAATAATTTCTTGGGGAGATATTTATAAAGATTGGGATATTGATGAATTATTAGCGAAAATATAAATAAGATCAGATGATCCCTCCCCATACTAAATAATTCGTGAATGAACCCGATCACCAAATCCGAAATTAGTTTTCATAGTATCTAAATTTGGTTTGTTAATAACGAGGAGTATATTATATAACGGGATAAGTTAATAATAAATTGCAAATACTTATCTGACTAAAATTCAGGTAATTATACTAATTTGGATATTATATCCGTTTGCTCTTATCTAGCAAATAATCCCGGACAATGTGAAAATAGTATATAGTCAGGTAAGAGTAAAATGATAAGAAAATTTTTTTCTTCATAAACCAGCTCAGCATATTCTATACTATGAGTCTTGAACCACTTAACGAAAGAGAACTTGCTAAAAAATACCCCAAATGATCAGAGTTATTAAAATCCTTAGAAATAAATATCCTAAAAAGTTATCCAAATTCTCTTGCAAACGATATTACAATACCAAAGCTAGAGAATTGTCATAAATGTAATGAAGAAATTTTTTTAAATCCACCCAAAGCATTTACTATGTTAGTGTGTGGTCATACTCTCCATCACGACTGCCTTGAAAAAAGTAACAGAGATAAACAAAAAACTTGCCCCATTTGTTTCGTAGATAATGAAGAACCGGCGTCAGCTAAAGTTCAGAATGTAGATATGACAGAGGCAGTGAAAGGTGAAAGTGAAGAAACCTCTAATCTAACAGGAGAGGTAAGTAAATTATCTGTAGACGACGGTAGAGCTATCTCCTCAAAGTAAAACGAAATCTATAGAATCTGAAAAAGTGCAAGGTTTAATAAAAGAACTGTCTATGCCTCGTAAACCAATTGATGATAATGATAGAGAAAATAAAACCAGGGAATCGAAACCAAAAACTTTACTCTAGTTATATTATAATGCAAGCCAGGCAGAAAAACATGTAACTTGAGCCTACCAAGAAGAAATTAGGTGTTGGTACCTGTTTGCTGAAAAATTCGAAGAAAGGGTTAAAGAAATTAAAAAT